TTTGATCATTTTATTTAACTGAAGTGAATTTCTAAATTATTAAGATTAAATTAATTCGCGTAAAAGTGTGTGTGAGGTAAGAGATATTAAATACAGTTTATATTACATTTCAGGTCACCCTCTTCTTTTTCTGTTTATAACGTAAATATATAATAAGGGTGTTGCTAAAACGCTGAACGGAAAACGGAACGGAAAGCGGAACGGAACAGAAAACGGAATATATTACTTCAGAATAAATCACTAAAAACACACACATTTTATCATAAACAATATATCTAATACATATTCAATCCCTCATTATTAAATACAAGTTGATTTAGTTATGTTCAATCTTTTCTTCGGGAAAATCGCTGACATAGCATTGACGAGGAATCGAATTTGAACATGTTGAAAGTACATGTATGTGTGTGGAGGGGGGGGGGTATTTGACAAGCGAAAAAAAGAAATCAAGTGTTTGATTCGGGTGTGGGTTAGTTCCAACCCCAGCATCTTTCAGTACTAATTTGTACACTTATTTGCTATTTTGATTACATTAACAAAAGGGGGGGGGGGGTCAATGAACATTTCTATAGTAATAAGGTTATTCTGGAGAAAATTGGGGGGGGGGGGGCAAATAACTAGATAAACGGTGGCAAGAGAATAAAATGAAAAAAATTCTTTCATTACGAATGGAGAAAACCTCGTCGACAAACACCTATATGTAATGTAACACTGGTTGTGAAAATTTTAATATACAAAGTAGATCCCTATTTATTAAAATTCAGGATAGACAGAATTTGAAAATTTTTCTGTGCTAATTTGTAGCATCTTTACATTCAATGAAGTAAGGGTGTGTTTGTATGTGGTAAATGTGTGTGTATGGGGGGAGGGGGTATGAATGACCCCGTAAAATTTAAGAGTGTTTTCTCCGCTAAAGGTCTAAAAATATGCAAAAGCACCCCCCCTTTGTGTCAAAAATATATATAAGGTGTAATAAATCATTTTTATGTGGCTCTGGGGCCTTTCCCTAAACCCAAACTGTCCCCATCAAGGTTCCTGGATTCTCCACTGCTTGCACAATCATATTTTCAGAACTCGTTTTTTAATATACATGTATATGTATGTACATATTAGTAGTCCTTTTCTTCTGCCTATTTCATGAAAATATCTTTTTTATGAAGATTTTGAAAAAAAAAAGATAAGTAATAGGGAAACGTTCAGATGAATATTAAGGATTTGAGTCTACTTGGTATGTATTTTATGAACAATTGCATAGGCGTCTGAAGCAATTTCAAGGGGGGGGGCTAATTGAAAGTGGGGAGGGGGGGTTAAACCTATAAAAAAAAGATAAACCCCAATTTTAATTGCAAATATTATGTTCATCTTTGCAAAAAAAAAGTGAGGAAAGGGGGGGTTACCCCGCCCCCCCCCCCCTGGTTCCGACGCCTATGCATCGCATGCACACGTGCCAGTTCTGAGGGGTGCATGACTCATAAATATAACATATTTTACGATACATTTTTATTAGATATGACTATATAAAAAAATATTGCTTCTTTTATCAGATTTATATCAGGTGTAGGTTATTTGCTTATCATAAATTTTCCGTTTTCCGTTCCTTTCCGCTTTCCATTCCGTTTTCCGTTCCGCGTTTTAGCAACACATAAAATAGAATCGAACCCAGCAGCCGTGTTTGTGTATATTTCTACAATTTCTACAAGTACCTAGACCAGGCTGTGACAGTGTTATAATTGGATTATATTTCGTGGAGTTGACAGGACTTATGACAGTCGGTAAGTACAAGTTAAAGTATAGATTGGGGTAAGATAAACTGAAAGATTTGGTTAAAGCTCAAAGATCATCGCATGCCACAGTAGTCAAGTTTCACATTGTGAAGTTATCTCCCGTTGTCCATGTGACATTCAGTTACTGGTGCAGATCAAGAATTTTTTTTCAGGAGGGGGAGGTGGGTTCACACCTCAGTCATAAAAATGCTAGCCCAGAATTTCTCCACAAGCAAAGAAAAAAAATGAAAACAAAATAAAATCAATGATAGTGGTGTCGTCGGGTCAATGTTTTATAAGGGGGATAATTTCCAGTCATTTTTTTATTTGCTTCAGTATATAGTCTTATTTGAATAACAAAGCAAATTCCGGGGGGTGTGGGAGGGTGGGGGGGGGGTTCCACTCTCCCTAGCCACTCCCTGTCCCTGAAATTACGATTGATCTTGTGACTCCAAAATAGATTTTTTCCCCATTTGACTAAATACAAATTTTGCTTCTTGTATTAATTAATATTGTCTGTCTGTTTGTCTGAAGAAATTTGATCAGTAGTTTGGCTTAAATTTTGATCAGTAGGTTCTAGGCCTTTCATGCTTAACATGTGTATTCATTGTGAACTTTCAACAGGTATAAATATGTTTGATTGTGACCCTAGAGTTTAACCCACTTAAAAAAAACTTTAACCTTGGCAATTAACTTTTGAACAGGAAGTACCAGGGATTTCTTATTTCACATGTGTATTCCTTGTGACAAGACTTTGATACCAAAAATTTTAACCCTTTGACCTTTGAGTTTGCCATACATTTGAGAAACTTCAACCTTCGCCATAAGCTGCCATACATGGGCATCAGAGTTTAAAAAACACATCTTGTCTTCATTATTTTTAAGTGACGGTATCTCCATATGAGGGAAAAATTCCAGAGAGAGATGTTTTCACAACAAGCAAACAAATTACTAAAAATAACATAAAACATGGGCATGTTAACGTTGGATGTATCTCTTGTTTTCCCTTGAATAAGAACTGATTATATAAATATTTAAAAAACAATAATTATAACATTTAAAAAGGTTGCATCTTAAAATTGACTAAGTTCTGCGGTTGAATTAGCTTCAAAAGTTTACTACTTTTATTTTGCTACTCAAAACACCTTGATTAATTATTTTCAATCATACTGTTTTTCTGAAATGTTCAGTTTTTTCCAATAATGGATACATATGTAATACATTGTCAGCTTCTCAGAAAATTGCATGAAAAAAAGCTTTTCAAATACTGTAACCATGGTAACCCTTTAAAATACTTGTGAATCCTACAATTTTAGCTCATTTGAGCTTTTCTGGTTTTCTTATCACAAAACGTCTGTCGTTCATCAGTTTGTCTGGAAAGTTTTTACATTTTTAACTTCTCTACAACCACTGGGCCAATTTCAACCAATTCACATAGAAATATGTACATCTGTATGTCAGTCTGTCAATTTAACCTTGGTTATCACGGTCATATCTATTAAATGTGAAGAGACAAGGCATTTGTATTCAACATATGTATTAGTATTTACCTGTGACAATGACATGATTTTTTTTTTACCCATGATCTTGAAGTTTGAACTCCTTGCAAAAAAATTACATTGCTTTAAAATTATCATTTTGGTAGAATTCATATTATACATGCATGTATATTATTACCTATGATAAGACCTTTCTAAATAAATCACGACTCGCTGACCTTGACTGACTGGCTTAACCTACTTTTCAAAAATGTTGCATTAAGTTTGCTTAAAACTTTTGATTGAGAAGAGATATGACTTTCACATTTGACATGTACATTACTCATAAGAATTGAAGATGTTTCCCAGGATGCTATGATTTTTTTATTCTATGATGTTGATGTTTTACCTAATTTTCAAAATATTTAACTCTCCTAAAAGATGATGAGGCTACCGATTTGACACCCCAGGGCAAAATAAAAATACCGAAACCTTACCGCACATCTACATGACACCACCAACCATCTCCCAATAGATGATTAGGCTGCTGAGTAATATAAAGAAGGAGTTCAGGGAAGAAGGGGCTTTTAGCATAAAAAAAAACATCATTTTCCGATTCCCATTTGACCCCCTGGGGCGAAATCAAAATTCCAAAACCTTACTGCACATCTACATGACACCACCAACCATCTCCCAAAATATGATTAGGCTGCTGAGTAAAATGTAGAAGGAGTTCAGGGAAGAAGGGGCTTTTAGCATAGAATACGTCATTTTTCGACCCCCATTTGACCTCCCGGGACAAAATCAAAATTCCAAAACCTTACTGCACATTAACATGACACCACCAACCATCTCCCAAAAGATGATTAGGCTGCTGATTAAAATGTAGAAGATGTTTAAAATGTTCAGGGAAGAAGTGGCTTTTTGTATAAAAAAAAAACGTCATTTTTCGACCCCCATTTGATCCTCTGGGGCAAAATCAAAATTCCGAAACCTTACTGCACATCTACATAAACCCCCAACCATCTCCCAAAAGATGATTTAGCTACTGTGAAAAATGTAGGAGGAGTTTAGGGAAGAAAAGTGTGACAGACGGACGGACATGAGTAGCAACAATATACCCGAACTTTCTTTCGAAAGTGCGGGTATAAAAACCACGTTTCAACTGATATACATATCAAACTGCACCATCAGCATGTGATATATAAGCTGGCAAAACTTGGCTGAATCTGTCGCCTTCATCAGATGAAGTATAAATCGGCGGAGGTCTGCCGAGAGGTGCTATCTAAAAACTAGAGGTACTGTGAGCGATGAGCTCACTAAATGATACCCCCGCCTCCCATATGGTTATAACTGGTGAAAAAGTCCATGTTTTCCTGTGGCCGGGAAATCCAAATTATGTGCCGGATCAAAAAGTAAAATAGGAGGTGCACAATGGCAATATGTAATAAAGATTCTGTGAAAGTTTCATAAAATTTCATTCAGTGGTATGAGAGGAGTTGCGGATAAGAGATGGGTACCCCAAAGCGTAACAGAGTGACGGACAGACGGACGGACGGACGGACGGACGTACAGACGGACGGAATTAACGATTACTATATACCCTCCCGCTTTTCAAGCTGGGGGTATAATGATAATGGGTGGTGCAAACCCAGTTTGATGTAGAATTTTTCAAAAAGGTGTTCACATGCATGTATATTACATGAGGAAATCTTAAATTTTCATAACAAATGATGTTTTAACATAACTTCATCTAGGCCTATTTCAAAAAAGATATGTCTGTGTGTGTAGCTCTAACATTACTCGAGTGTCTCCATGAAATGCGGGGGAGGAGAAAAGACCAAACAAGAGTAGTGTTGGTGAAAATTCTTGAAAGTAATTGGATGTCCCATTTAATTCTATACAGTAATCTGGACAGTTTAATTTGACCCAAATCATTAGCCCCACAGTGAATAATTAAATATCTTGGAGGATCCTCTAATGTGGCCAAGTGCCTAACCTTATGAACTAAGTCAATAAATTTTAACCCTCCATACCCTTGCCACCAAATATCTACCCCTCTTTCGCTCAGCCCCAGGCTCCATCCCCCAGGTCTTAATCTTGATTGTATGAATGCCCTTTTTATGATTGATGACCCTACAATCCAAACTGAAATCCTGTCTGGTTTTGGTAACCCTGTAATATTAACAAACATATGCATGCCAGTTAGATTCAATATGCAAATTCATGATAAAGGAGATGTTCGGCTAAGTGGAGATCTTATATAAGTCTGAAAGGCAGTAGATTTCCATCTGCCAGGTATTTTAATTTCTTCATCTGAAAAACCCATGCCTGCTGCTGTTGTTGCAGCCCCTATCCTGAAAGAATGAGACTTATAATACTTTGTGTTTAGTCCAATAGCTACAATGACTTTATCTAAAACTGCTGAAAATTGATATCTTGTTAGTGGCTCTCCACCAAAATGACAAAAGAAGGGTCCCGGAAAGTTTGGTCTTACTTCCAAATATTTGGTCATAGCCTGCACTGGGCAAATAATTGACTATTTATTAATATTTTTACCCCCTTTCCCAATTGATCTGTTTAAGAGCACCTTATACACACTGCCAGCTGATTATTTTGTATGTTTACATCACCAATTCCCAAAATGGTCTGAGAGTTGTTGCCCTTAGACATAGCCAATTCTACTCTCAGAAAGGCAAAGAATGCTAATGTATATGCTGCTGTGAATAATTTAGCCTCATAAAAACTTGAACAGACACTGATTAATGCCCCTGTTAATTTGGCCAAAATGTTTTCTGTAATTGGCAACCTAGTATCAACCCTAGAATTGAGACGCCTGAAACCCTCCAATACTTTGGAAACAATGAATTTGTTTGTAGAGTCTTCAAATCCTTTTATCTTACACTCATAGCCAATAGTCACTACATATGCTCTAGCTGTAGACTCTGCATAACCATTGAGTTATAGATAAGCAACAAGAAACATGTTGACGCAAGCGTCAAAAATTGGCCGCAAACCAATTAATTTATTCTTTCATGAAACAATTAGAAACTAAATTCTTAAATTTATCTGTTAATATATATCCCTAGGCCTATGACATTAAACATTTGAATGCGAAATTCCAGGGTTTTCTTCAGTGCTTAATACCTGTACATTGCTACATGTACAATGTATTTAAGCAACTTACTCATAGTCCTCTGCGTCCCCGCACTCAGTTTCATTTGTACAAACGAACTCTGGCGGAAGTTTGATGTTTAAGGTATCCAATCCCTAATGGGAACAAATTCAGTGAAATTGAATACATAACTGATATGTAGGCATTGAATACTCAGTTGTTTAGACATATTTCCCATTTATTACTATTAGTATGTATAGTGGGATGTGTCCTAATTTATGACCTTGAGCTTTGGTGAGAGTTATCTCCCCTTTTTTTAATCAATAAAAAAAATCAATTTAAAAAAATTTATCCGTTAAAAAAATTGTTTTCAATTGCCATTCTATTTTTAATGTTTCAATGCATCTTTCCACCGCAGGATTTATTGATATTCAAATTATTTGAATTTTTATTTTGAAAAAACGTTTTTCCCCATAGACTTCAATGCAATCTTTGTTAATTAACTACTGCTTAATTAATGACATTTTCAAATCTTTCTCACGGGCAATCCTTTTCCACTATAAAATACTTTAATATAATATCAGTGTATTATGTACTTGACGCACATTTAAGGGTAGGGAATTAGGTCCCATTAGGGATGGAAATCCTTAAGTAGTTTTAACACTTAACCATCAAAACTAACGTTTAAACTTATCTAACTAGAGATAGTTTAACTTTAAATAAAACGTAACAACTACCCCTGGTATGTGGGGCTTTTCGCTCGCTCAGAGGATGTTGAAACCCCCAAATTCCCTCTAAATCCGCCACTACATTTTTTCTCTATCTTGTAAATTTTGGTGTGAGATGTGGCGGGAAAAGACTTGGCATATTGTAAAACGCGCATTGTCCTTGTCTGTTGGAGAAAAATCTCCTAATATTTTGTCTGATAATAAACTAAGATTAAGTCATATTTTTGAAAACTTTCCGTATTAAAAGTACATTGTATATCTATATTTACACATCATTTTGAATTATATATACAACAAATCCTGTTGAAGTAGAGAAAGTAAATTTGTTTATACATATATATAACGCGGCCCTTGCTTTAGACTATGCCCAACATGTGTGCTTATTTCTCCGCACTGCAGTTACGTCGGAGTTTGTCAATCAGGATTGGATGAAACATTTAACCCATTATTTATCAAATTTTAATTTTATGATTATTGTGCGTTTTTGTTTAACATTTAAAAAATCTTTCTTAATATTCTATTACATGAATGTTAAATATTTTTTATTAAAATTGTTCCAACTCCGCAGAAACGCACGGCGACTTAAAACTTTCATATCATATAACCGACCGCCTCCTGGCGGCCGGTAATAATTAACTATTTGCTCCACAGAAGGAGGCCAGATAATTTCTTCATTTGACATATTTCTAAACCTGTAAAATGCCATGAGCCCTGTTTTGTAGGATACTGCAGTGTTGTGAGAATTAGATGCCATTAATAGTCGAGAAACTTCCCCGTAGACATCACACTGTGAAATGCGAGTGGAATTGGATCTGGTACCCGGTTTGCCTTTGGAGCAAGTTGTCGGAATCTTCCCCACTGTTTACGAGAGAGAGCATCAGCTATACTATTGTCAATGCCAGAAATGTGTTTGGCTTTGAATATGATATTATATTGCATAAGCATCAAAACTAACTTTCTAATTAAAAACATAATTCGAGGGGACCTTGACGACTGAGTATTCAAAATACTTACTAAGGCCATGTTATCTGTTTGAAATTGAACCTTTTGACAACTCAGTTCCTCACCCAAGATCATAACTGACAACACTATGGGGGCTAACTCCAGAAATGTTATATCCCTGATGATATCATGATTTTCCCATTCTAATGGCCATTCATAACAAACCCACGTTCCTTTAAAATAACTCCCACAACCAAAACCAGTAGCCCCCACACTGTCTGTGTATACTGTATTGCTCTTGAATTCACTCATTCTGAACATGGAAAGAAAGCTACACCATTGAAATTGTCTAAAAAATGAACCCACATTAACATATCTTCTCTAAGTGCCCCAGTGATTCTTATGTGAATATTGGGACTAGAAATGCCAATCATAGAATCATAAAATCTTCTGTTGAATGCCCTACTACCCCTGATAGCCTTAGAAAAGAAATTGAGTTTTCCAACTAATGATTCGATTTCTTTTAACTTAACCTTTGACCTCTCAATTAGAATACATAAAAGACCTTTAAGTTCCCTTATTTTTTCCCCAGGGATCCTTATAATTCTAAGCACGGTGTCTATTTCCAGCCCTAAGAATACTAAACAAGTAACAGGTCCTTGTGTTTTATCTACTACTAAAGAAAATCCAAACTCTTGGCAAACTTCCTGGAATAATGTCATTAATTGCAAACATTCACCTGATCTCCTCCTTCCAGCAAAAATAAAATCATCTACATTGTAAATAGTGCTCTACTGTACTCAAACCAGATTTTCTTGTTATAACCCACTGCACAAATGTTGAAAACTTTTCAAAAATTGAACAAGAAATGGAACATCCCATTGTAAGCACTTGTCAAAATAGTACTGATCCTTAAATCTAAATCCTAACAGATCAAAGTCCCCAGGGAATATTGGGAGTAACCTAAATGCACTTTTAATGTCAACCTTTCCTAACTCTGCGCCAGGTCCCAACTGACTTATCATATCAACTACAGTATCAAAAGCTGTGTATTTAACGCTGCAATCATCTGGGTCAATAAATGAGTTAATAAAATGAGTTAATACCAAGTGATGGAGGGTATGAAAGATGTGTTATCATCCTCCAACCACCACTTGACTTTGGGACTCGACCTACTGGAGAAATATGCATATTAGGAATAGCTGAATAGGTGGGTGTGAAAACGGGCCCATAACCCTTCCCTCTTGTACTTCTTTAACAATTTTTTCCTGCAGTTGATTTGGAAATTGCCTAGCCGAAAGCAAATTCTCAGATAAAACAAAAATTCTTGAACCTGTATAATTTAACTTAAAACCAAAAGTGAACCCTTGTAAAATTTCATTTGCTACATTTCTGACTGGATATTGGTGCAAATATGGTGCCATTGCAGAAACCCTAATTGGGGTTGAACCTAGTTCCCATATGTCTTGGGCCCAGGAGTCGAGGGTGTCTAGGGGTAAACTGGGGTGTGGAAGCTGCATAAAGTCGACTGAATTGATGGACCCCTGGCCGGAAGGTCGGTCTTGGACTGAAAGAAGAAGCTTGCCTATTAACTACATTTACAGATAACAAAGGGCAGTTAATTATGGAATGATCTTGACCACACTTTATACAAGCGTGTGCGTATGAGCATGGTTTCCTCACGCAAAACCCCTGAAAATTAAAAGCATAACATTTGTTTATCCCTTGATTTCCTGTAACCGATACATTTTGACCCCCGTTCATATACATGACCCACAATTCTGTATCAACGGCTGACGAAGATTTGCTCGGATCCATTGCCAATTTTAGCCGGAACTGCTCGTCATACATTTTCCACCCAGAGGACCTACCCGCCCCAGCACGTACATCATGTATGTATTTTAGTAAATCCTGATATTTACCTGTATGGACAGATGTATATATGCTCAAATAAATAAATAAATGAGAAAGGCGTCTGTCCATTTCTCAATAGAAGTGATTTTTTGAGTATGTTTGGGTTTGCTTTGCATTTGGCCATCGTTACCCAAAATCAAAATTCTTTCACTAGCCGAGTCTTTGATATTTGATTTTTTTAACAACAGTGACAAATCTACATATTTTCCTTCGACAATGTTTTGTCGGATTGTCTCGTTAACATTATGCCCCAATGAAAATTGAACTGAATTTAGTGGTGTGGAGATAGAACCCCCGACCTGCGACAGTAAAAAAATTTGGACCTGTTGATTCAGATTGGTTGGAAATTGCGGACCCTAATCCGTCGCATGTCGGCGCCCGCTGTGTCGCCACTGATTCCGCTGCTGGGTCAGATTCCTCCGGCTCCCGGGGCTGACCTTCTCCGACAACCTGCTTTTTTCTCCTCTCTCCCCTCCGTCGTGTTCTTATGGGCGGCATGTTTTCACAATTTTTTTTTACAGAAAAGTCTTTTATATCAAGAAAGTTATGTCTAACAATTATCAACTGAATAACTTCAGCCTACAGCATGCTGCACAAGGTCAAACAAGAATCTCCGAAATATCCTATAAATCCGCTGCCATCGACAGCAATCAAAGTCTTATTTATAATCCAATATGACTAGTTTGACAAAATTTTCAAAATTACTAGAATTTTATCCGTAACTTCACGATTAAATCACGATTATTTTTCAAAATATTTAAGCTCTCAATTTTTTAAACCGTCTGCTGGTTCATGGGTCGAGTGAAAAAGGAAGTACAGACGCTGTAATTTTAGAGTGATACACGAGATGCTTATAAATTTCCGGTTTAAGTTTCCGGATTACACAACAGGCTAATACACAATATAAATCATATCTTAGATTCACACAACAAAGAAATTACTATCAATATATGCTTAAATCAATATTAT